AAATGAGAGGATGCTAGCTATACCAAAGACCGCAGCTTTCAAAAGATTCTCAGTCACCAAAAGCCTCTTGCAAATGGTCATGTTGAGTTTAGGCTGCTCTGTTTACCCTATTGAAAGTTTTCCAGGGTCCCTTTGCCCAAGAATGAAGTATAATCAAGTCTTAAAATCTCGCTAAAGCAAATTGAGTAAATAGAGGTGAATACTCGCTGCGACTATGCATTGGGATGTATTCCTTCCATTGTGAAAGACTCAAGATCAAATTTCTGCCACACAGAAATAGAACAACAAGCAGAAACATACATAGCAGAGACAGAGGAAGCTAACCAGAAGCTGACTTCTTTATTTTTTCCACCACATTGTCGGTCCTTTCGGGAATAGCTCTCTCATAAGTTCGATTCGTTTATTTTCATTCTCTGGTCCTTGTTCTGTTATCGCTGCCTTCGCGACCTTGTCCTTCAGGAAGTCCGACACCATCACTTTTCTTAGACCATCAGGATATAAAAGTAGTACATGTGCTTCTTTCGATACAGGAGAATGCAATATTCCTTTGTAAATAATGCAACCATTTGCTGTGAATGAGCTTTGAAACAGGTGTTGTCTTTCTTGGAGAGCTTGCTATACTCAAATTAACATCGTACCTGTTAATAGCCAAAGTAAAAAGATTGCTCACTGTGGGCGATTTGACTGAAGACATTATTCGATAGTAACTTATAAGTAGAAAACAAGTTGCTAACTGCTATGCTTCAGGATTATATTTCACAGATGTAGATTGTCCGTATTGAAGAAAGATGAACATTGAACAGTTCTATGTGATATGTCAAAGTATATAACAGTCAGCCAGCCGAAGGATCTGGCAGATATATTCTAAAATGACTTTGCGTTCTGCCATTTCATGTGTCAAGGGACTTGGTTATCATGCCACTTGACGTACTCCAGTGACTAACTTCATTATCGTGAAAGGGTAGAAGTAGTCCTTGGGTAACAGGCTGAGAAGACTGGCTTTTCTAATTCATAGCAAATGGGGGAGGCTCGGTTTTGAGATTCACAGTAGAAGATTGGGTTTGCCAGAGTAATTGGTATTGAAACCGCTATTGTTTATTGTTCTGTCATTTTGGCTGGGTGAACAAGGACGTTGGAGGCTTAAAAAAGTAGACAGGATGATTGCCATGCCTGTAAGGGAACTCTTTGAATTCCTAAACTCGGCTGTGGGACAAAAGCATTGCTATCTCGATACCTTCGGTGCCTGAAAAGAGATCCACCGATAAGTGTAAAGCAACAATTTGTTGAGCGACTAGCCATCGATTTGCCACAGTTTAATTAGTCACCTGATAGTGTGTCACGTGCTTAGAGGGATTTGGGCACCGAAGAACCCCGCGCGATGTGCAACTTTCGACCTGATTCTCGTTTCTTGACATCTCTCCCATTTCTTTTTACTGGGTCATTTTACGCACTCCCAAAACATGGCATTTGAAAGGCAAGATACTACCGAGGAATTAGGGCAAGTCCTAACCAGGATCAAAGATATTATTCAGGCTGGGAAGGTCACTACAGAGGAAAGACAGTCAGCTGGGTGGAAATACGGTGGCAAGGAGCTGGAAACCGAGCTTGAGCTGTTAAATGAGATATTGCGCATCAAGTACAAAGTCAGTATTCAGTATTCATTCATAATTTCTCTCTAACAATACTAGGTCCTTGAGTCAAATGTCTTTCATTTCATCAATGGCGCGAATATCCATAATCCAACGAAACGTCTACTCATGATCCCAATTACCGGAACACCGAGACTGAAATCCGGCGAAACATTAACACCGACAAATTGCTACTATACTGAAGAGGTTCAGTTGCTGTTCGGTGAGCGCTGGAACATTATATTGGTCCCGTTAGCGGAGAAGGACACACCTTAAAGAATCAGACACCACAAGGCATGCAATCCACTGTGGAGTCGTAGTCATTTGTGCTTGGGATTCCAGCGATGACGTTTCGTACTGCCGCAGCTATCTGTTCGGAAGGGAGCGGGAGCGGAGATAGATTATGTGCTTGCTCGCCCAGATGAGGCCGTCCGAGCGGATTGACTTTCTGAATAGGTGTGAAGGACATCTCGTCTGACTGGCCAATCATATGCGGATGTCGGAGGGGGTCAATTTCCTGAATGGGTGTTGGAGATGTATTATCCGATGAGCGAGTAAAATGCGAATGTCCAAGGGGACTGACTTCCTGAATGGGTGTGAAAGGTATATTATTTGACGAGCTAAGAACATGCGGATATCCAAGGGGATTGACATCCTGAATGGGTGCGAAAGGCATATCATTTGACGAATTAAGAACATGCCGATAACTCGGAGGACTGGCTTCTTGAAGGGGTCTGAATGTTGTTTCCTCTGGGATGAGAAGCTCAGTTGGCTGAAGACCCAGGTTGGAGATTGAGGGTATTGATTCTTTTCTTTGTCGTTTCCTTGGCCCTTCAGGCTCAAATACTTGAGCTTCCTGTTCTCGAGCTCGTCTGATCATGCTAATTCGAACTATATGAGCTGTCAGTATTAAACACAAAATTTCATGACGGGAGTTGGTACCATTGTAACATTGGAAACAAGATGTCATCCACGCATCTTTACCATTGGCAAAAATACCCCATTCGGATAAAAGTAGACGAGCAAGTAGTGGCAGATGATGGAATGTGATGCGCATAAAAATCCAGAATCTGAAAGACACTATCCCAGCTATGCCCAGAGGCTCGGTCTCCACATTCACATCCAGCAACGATGAGTATATTTTCATGAAAACACGAAGCTGAATGCCATAACGCACATACGTCCGAGCTTTGTTAATATCTCCAAAAGAACGATCAATGGCGAATTCCTTATAGAAAGAACCTCTGTTACCAGAGTTCAAGTTTTCGTACAGATGCTCAATCCTAGATTTCTTTCTCCTCCGCTTGGTATCGCCCTCCCATCCAATGTATTCGTCCGCTAAGGATATTGCGCTAAACCCAGAGCGAAGCTGCATTTCGAGAGAACCATGGTCATGTTTGTCGGTTTGAGAGATATCAATGATTCGCGGATCCTCTTGGGACCAATCTCTTTTAGACCGGATAACCGACTCGGGAGCTGCTTGCATAAATTGCAAGATTTGACTTTTCTGCTCCCGCAGCAACTTAATCAATCTTGTTATACTTTTTGGTATCTCGTTAAGAGGGACGTCAGGTTGCAGAGGTGTCGCTGGGTTTTCCGTTGAAAGAGATGTCGAATGAGTGGATGTCGATAGAGTCGATACTGCCGATGGCGGTATTAGTGAAGGGGAAGTGGCTGAATATGTCCGTGGAGGGGAGGTCGCTGGTGTAGACACTGCTGAGGACGATCTCAATGAGGACAATGGCGCTGACTTCGTCGAAGAAGAGGATGTCGCTGCGTCTGGGGGAGGGGATCTAGGTGCCGTCGAGGGCGGTGTTTTTGAACGTGTATTCGAAAATTTATGTGTGCATTTATTGCATGTAGAGCTACCAAATGCTGGGCCTGACCTGCTTGAAGAAGCACAGCGTATTTGGAGGAGAGAATGTAGCGAGTTAAGAGCAATCTCCACCTCCTCGCGATGGGAGAGGAGGTCTTCTCTGTGTGCCTCTTCTATATTAGAAAGAGTTGATAGAGCTTCCAGAATCGCCTGCAAAGAACTCATTGTAACCAAGACTTCAAGATGATGACGAGAGATTCGGAGCAGGGAGCGTGATTTATGTTGAGGAAATCATGATAGGATGGAGTGTCCGACACTCCATCTGACACTCCATCTTCGAAGTCGTTCAAATGATTGGACAAATACGGAACTTGGATGAATAAGGGGGCCAGGAAGAAGATGATACAGGGATGATGGAGTGTCCGACACTCCATCTTCAAAGTTCTTCCAAATGATTGGACAAATACGGAACTTGGATGAAGAAGGCCGCCAATAGCAAGGCTCTTATAGGCCAGGAGTCCCTTGAGGATAGTTTCTGGTGCGATAGGTGTTAAACCATGCATTAGTGCAAGCAGGTTCTTTCGAGTCAGTAGCTTCTGTCTCCGGCCTAAATAGCACTAAGAACCGACCAGGCTTTCAGATAATCTTACGGATTGGGCTCGCAAACTTAAGATGACTTAGTATAACTTAGCATAACTTAGGATGACTTAGGCTGACTGACAAGGATGACTGACAAGGAAATGTGAATGCGCTTGCATTAGCTTATTGACAGGATACTATCAACCGTCGAATGAGATTCTGGTGGCCGAAAACCACTAAATATTCCCAGTTCAAATTTCAATTCAAGCAAGTTTTCACCATAGCAGTAATTTGAAGTTATATATAATAGACCAATTCTTCGGAAAGACGTTCATATTTCAAAACCCCCTGAGAATTTCCTCAAGCACAACCTAGTCTTCTAGACGTATTTCCCTCAACCGGAGTTCTTCTATGTAAGTAAATGAGCCTCTTTGCGGAAGCTTTTTGCTTCTTTGGTCTATTCCACTGATATGGATCTCAAAGCAATATCATGAGTCGAGCATTGAAAGACGCCGTACGCGAATTGAAGGCATGGGTGACTGAAAGCGCTTCACGATCAGCCAGGATTGCCAGGGGGGAAGGAACTCCAGGCTCCCGTGCGGCACCAACTCGGACAGCAAGCAACGATTCTAAGATCGGAGTGCGACTAGATAACGGGGAGAACGTCACTAAAGAAGGGAAAGTCTACAAACGATACAAAGTCCAGGCTTGCAAGGAAGCGTCGAACTCTACGATCAAAAGTTTGGCAAGCAAAAACTCTCACAAAGTATACGCCGAGGCCGATGTTCCTATTGATGATTCAATTTCTGTGGACGACAAGATCAAGAAACTTTTCGAGGATTTGGAGAATGATGTTGATAAGAAAATGTGAACAGTTCTTTGTCTCCGGATCTCGTGCTTAATTTCAATTCAACATTGAAATTCAGCCATGAGTCAATTTCCGTGGACAAGTTTCAGGGAATTTTTCGAGAATCTGAAGAACGACGTTGATAATCGAATGTGAATAGTCCTTTGTATCCTGATTTTGTGCTATATTTCAATTCAACATTGACATTCAGCCGGGCAGCAGCTCGGAGTATTTGTTTTGCATGCCTCAAAATACTGAGTGATTGACTGAGATGTGTAGGTTTAGATAAGCCGATTATCGAATAAGTGCCTAGTAGCTAAGAAAGTAACATTCCAGTTTACAGGTGATAAATCAGAACTAAGTACTAGTTAGATGCAGTTTATTTGCTGAGCTGAACTTCACCTTCACACGGAAATGCGGCCGGAAGATTAGTCAGATCGGTTTAAAGGCCCCTCTCGCCTTGGTGGGGACGACCGGTGCCACCAGCCTTACCCCGCTTGAAATACGTAATCTCTTCGCTAGTCAGATGATTTCTCAAGCCGCCACTAAGTTTGCCTATATTTCCCTAAGCTGCCTACATTACCCCAAGTTGCCTACATTCCCCTAAGTTGCCTACATTCCTCTAAGTTGCCTACATTCCTCTAAGTTGCCTACATTCCTCTAAGTTGCCGAAACTTCCTTAACTTCTACCTCGAACGAAGAACATAGTAACGCATCGTACTTACTCAGCTTCCGTTGAGTCTCATAACAGAATGGAGAATACTCTTCCCAGAGTATACAAAATCCAGGAAGAATTGAGAGCCACTTCTTCAATCCCCTCTTTTTATGACGATGTCCTTAAAGACCGACTGGCCATAGCTTTCACACCAATACCGCGTCAACCTCGTCAGAAATCCCCTCGGTCGCGACAAGCAATTCACAGACGTTGCAATCGAAAAGCTGCTCAAAAAGTGTATTTGAATGCTTTGGACTATAATATACATATATTCATCGCATTCATTCTCGCAGTTTCGGTTAAAAAATGCCTGTCCATAGGCACCGCACTCTATCAAATTCGAAAAATTGAGGAACCTCTGCCATTCCAGCAGCAGACCAAGATAAAGCTCGAGGCTCTGGCTATAGAGGGGACATATCAAAAGAATAAGCAATATAGAGCTTTGATAGAATCGCTTTTCCCGTCGAACGCGGAAGAGGGTCAAAGCTATGGGGCTGGTCGAGCACCAACCATTACGCACCCTTTTGATTTTGCATTCTCAGCAAAACCCACCACAGATGCAGCCGACGATGAGGCGTGCTGGGTTTACAACGCAGCTTGCTTGGCAGCTACACGAACTCTCTTCGGTGATGAAATAGGAGATGGCGTTGCAGGTGCCCCACTGCGGATGAAAGAGAAAAGAAAAAGTGGAACCTTTGAATTGACAGAATTTGTGAAGACAAACTTTCCCAAGCGTGTATTTCAGGACGCTATTATCTCTCTTCAAGTTGGAGATGCCAGAAACATTGCACGCACGTTTTTTCCGTCAGTAAGTGATGATTTATTCTCAACTCTCTTTGCAGAAGAACAGGGACACGATAATCAAGCGAATATGTCGCAAACCTTGAGCATCAAGCACGGTCAGTCAATCAGTCAAGGTCTAGCAGTCTTACAGCTGACTTTTTTAAAGGTATTGATTGTGCCTACTTCACGTTCCGGGGCGCTTCTACAGCAGCTATTGCGACGAGTTTTAGCTCAAGCCTTTTTAACGCAATCGAGGAGAGCCAGCTGCGTGTCTGGGAAAAGGGCCATCTTCTGCTAGATACGACTGATTGTCTTCTGCTTGAGGTTTCTCGTCAGCCACCAAATCTAGGTACTTTACGAATACGGATTGGCTTCAAATTGGGAACTGATATAGTCAATGCGCTATATGCATACAGCGACGACTGAATTATTGAATTATTGCTTTCCCTCTCACAATGTAAACGCCTACTCGAGCCGGAAGATTGGTCATTTCACCGTCTCCAGTAGTTGACCATATCTTCTCTCCATTTTCATCTTGAAATTCTATGCTTTCACATTGTAGGCAATAGAGTCTCCTCGGATATTCCTTTGCCCAAACGTAGTTTATCGGTAGTTTCTCGCAGGTTTTGAAAAAATCGGGAGCCACAGATAATGTATTCCAACACGCTATCTAAGTAATCCAAATGTCAGGAAAGCCAGAATTGGTGATATGAGATTTTGAATGCATACCAGAGTCTCTTCTGTCACTTTCTCCATCTCCGCCATGGCAGGCTTGGCGACAATCCTTGAATTCTTCCTAATAGAAGATCTTATTATTTGGTTTGACCAGACTTGAAGTTTTTGAGCCTATTGCTTAAGGGCTGAAAAGAACAACCTACTTAAACCGGGCGGCGGGAGGGGTTGACTGAACAGTGCGAAGTGATTTCGTCCAGAATACTCCGAGATTAACGACCCACTTCAGGTTCGGTTCCAATACATGCCCGACTGTGGCTGTGGTTTCGTGCCATATTGTGGCAGTGCAAGTCCGACCCACTTTGGAGCCCGGAAAGATGTGCTGAAGCACATGACCTAGGCGCATTGCTTTAAGTCTACCAAAGTTACCTCATTCCCCACCCTTAGGCTTTCCGAGAGCAAACAACACACTTCGATGTCTTGATTTCGAACCCGTTCTTAATACAGGCTTGGAAACTATCAACTGACTAATCAACACAATAAATGCTTCAATCGCAGCACATAGGTTTCTCTTTATCATCCCGAGTACGTTCAAAGCTCAAGTGAAATCGCGATCTTCCACATGCTTCAGTATGCAAAATTCTTAAAGCCATGGTGAAAGGCTTCTTGCTGACTTCTATGCTTTAGTTCATTTCCACGGGCTTTACCCTTTCTCAACCCCTCCAAAACCTTTGGTCGACTTATACACACGAGAAAAAGGGTTGATCCAACCATGATCAGCGATCAAATTTCTCTCGCCGACTTCTTCCGCTTCACCCGTGGGCGATTCCTTTCAGATGAGCCCCATCACATCTCGCAGACTACTGTGAAATTTAAACTTGACGAGCTTGAACGACTGGCCGTTGACTCCGCCGCAACACATAGCAAGGGGCCTCTAGAATGCGTGAAAATCGAGAAATTACCGGATGGAATGCACAACAAAGCGATTCGCTTCACAATGAACAACGGAGTCCAAGTTGTGGGCAAGATCCCGAATCCAAACGCAGGGAAAGCACACTTCACAACAGCGTCAGAAGTTGCAACTATGGATTTTGTATGTCGTATTTATACCTATAATCATCCTGGATTTTACATGCTGATACCCTGCAGCTGCGAAACGTTCTTAAAATACCTATCCCACATGTTCTGGCTTGGAGTTCCACGTCCAAAAATGACGTCGGGGCCGAATACATCTTGATGGAAAATGTACCCGGTGTTCCATTAAGTAAGTTATGGGATCAACTTGAAGTTGGTGCAAAGTTCAGGATTGTCCAGAGCATTGCGACTTATCAAGAAATGTGGTTAAATATCTCTTTCTCGCATTATGGAAGCCTAT